GGAACGGGACGACAGTGCTGGGAAGGTTGGGGGTCTACGTTTTGGAGTCCAGGCTTGGTCCGTGCTCCTGGGACCTGTCCCCATTGCTGTGACACAGCATATCTTACTTCCCGTGTCCTGAGAAGCCTGTTTCTTCCCACCTGCAACTGTGGTTGCACATGTGGCTCCTGGCCCTGGTTCTCCAGCACAGGCTGACCGCATTCGGCGTGTGCTTGGGCGCCAACTTTACTAAGAAACACGGTACACGTTTTTTAAAAATCATTTGAAGGTGGTTCCTTTCTGTAACATTTTGAAGTTGAAGAATGGGTCAAACTGTATTATTAGTCTCCTTCACTTCAGGGGGCATAGATGATTTCCACTAAAAGAAAACGAGTAGAAATAAATACTTTCTTGAGTTACCTACTGAAGAAGCATCTGAGAGGTTGCTGATCCCACTTGGAAAAGAGAAACAAACCCCCTTGAGTGGCACAGCCAGTCACCCTTACCTGCGCGTAAAAGAGGGCCACAGTGGAAGAAAGACTAAAATCACTGAGTTACCTGTGACTTGCATGGGAAATACCTGAACTTTGTACCCACACAGAAAGTGCTAACACATGCATGCAGGATTGTGTTGCCAGGAACACCTTTATAAGTGACATCTCATGTACCATTATATACCCTATGTTCAGGTGACAATTAGATTGCTTTCTTCTCAACACAATCATAACAACAGCTTATATCTGTGAGCACTTCCTATGTGTCAGGCACTGAACTAAGCCCTTTATAAGTATTAGTTCACTTGGAACTCATTTATACAGCAGGCTTTCTCATTCCCCTTGTACAGGCAGAACCTGAGCTTCGAGGAAGTTCACTTGAGGCCAGAGGTGGGGCTGGGATAGGAACTGATAGTTTGACTCCAGAGATCAGAGTTCGTCCTGATTTCACGGCCAGGCAGTCAGTAATGTTTGGACATTCTGCCTGGTCCAGCCCCGGTATTGGGTGTTAAAAATATGATAATAAAGGCAAATAGGAACCCTGCTTTTATGAAACTTCCTCTCTCCCATGGGAAATAGACGCAACTACCAAAAATAAACCAGCTTCTAACACGGGCAGTCCCTGAGTTTTCCTTCTTTTAATAGAACTAGGAAATTGCAGACATTACCCTTTAGATCTTAGACCAGATTTGAGAGCAGGTCACAAACAGAAGTAACAAGTTAACGTATAAGACAGCTTCTTGGGAGAATTTTTATCACTAACTGTAATCATTTGATGAGATTTATAAGAGAAATATATTAAAGGTGCAGTTGACTTTCAGATGAATTATTGACCATAGGAACAAATGAGATTTTTCTAGAAACAATGACCTCAAGAAAGAGCCTCCTTTGAGATGCAAACATGATAAGCAGCTGTATTGTATCATCACCTGAGTAAGTTCCAGGATGCCCCAGGGATTCTAAATTCAAACAGCGGCCTCCTCCTGCAGAGACCACATCTGACTGAGTACAGGAAGAAATTGTTCCTGAGTTACATTTTCCCATAGGTTCACTCATTTTAAATCGCCAGAGTGAACTTTTTCTTCCAGCAGGATAAAAATCTGGTAAAAGAATTCTTCATTAAGCTCTTGCCTGCATGTGGTGACCCATCCGTGAAGCCTAGAACAAGCCACCTTTGTTAGGTGGAAATAGATAGCAGGCTGGCAGACAAAACTGCCCGTTCTCCCTTCTCTCCCCTCAAAAACAATTAAAAGAACATTTTAGAGCCAGCACAGAGTGATGAAGCTCCGTGTTTGCCTTATCTCCAGGGAATCAAGTTCTTAAAAAAGATGTGATTGTGTGTTTTGAATGTTATAGGACTTTTTGTCCCATAAATGCTCAGTGGTCAAAATGACAAACCCAGGTAAGTAACTTTTAAAAATAAAAATGAAAGAAATTTTAGCTGCCGTGAGGCTAGGCTGCCCTTCAGAAGCCTTTATATTATTAATACTTGTTTGTATCTGTTATGTGTACTGTGCTGTATTCAGCACTGTGGAGACACAGTGAAGAAGACTGGAATATGCATGGCCCCCGAGGACACACATATGTCCTGATGCTATGACGGGAGATAACGCAGTTGACAGTCACAGTCCAGAGGAGAGATAGCATAGGTGACAGTCACAGTCGGCGCCACTTAGCAGCTTGGGAAGATGCTGAAATGCTTTGATATGTGTTGAATTTGAGGTGCTGGAAGGATAACCAGACACAACTGCCCACTAGGCACTTAGAAATGTGGACTGAAGTTGAAGAGATAGAGACAGAGGGGTGTGCCCACCTAACTAGGAGGGAATGAAGGAGGAGGGAGGGAGGAGACTTATAATCAGAAGTTGCCTTCATGAAGATGATTATTAAAAATAGAAGAGGTGGACGGCTATGGTAGAATGAGGGAAAGGAGGGAAGTGATCTTTGGGCATCCTTGGGGACTGAAGGGACAGGGTAGGGAAAGTAAACAGCAAAAGGAACAGAAACGTGAATAGCAGAAGAGACTCAGAATACAGTGTCTTTTTTCAAATCAAAAATTGAGAGCACTTTGCCTGGCCAGCATAGCTCAGTGGTTGAGCATCAACCCATGATCCAGGAGATCCCAGTTCCATTCCCAGTCAGGGCTCATGCCTGGGTTGCAGGCTCGATCCTCAGTGGGGAGCGTGCAGGAGGCAGCCGATCAATGACTCTTATCATTGATGTTTCTGTCTCTCTCTCCCTCTCCCTTCCTCTCTCTGAAATCAATAAAAAAA